TCAACGGGGAGCCTCGTTTCTGCTTCGAGAAGGCGATGTTGAAAGCAGAGCCAGCGGGTGTTCTCCATCAACCCCGCCTTGTGTGGAGCTTGTCGGGGAACCCAAGGAGCTAGACATGGAGCCACGACTCCAGACCGGCTTAGACCTCTCGAAGACGATCCACTTACCCTCCAAGGAACCCGGCGCCATGCCATGACATGCTGTGCGGTGTTGTGTTCTGCGCCGAGGTGCGATGCCATTCTTTGCGTTCCAATGCTGTGTGATGCAATGCTTCGCTGCGCAATGCCACGTCATACTATGGCATGATACGCTCTGTTATGCTCTTCTACGCCATGCCATGGCATGCCGTGCTCTACCACGCATCGCGTACCATCTCGCGATCATTGCCCTGCTCGACATCCGACTGTGCGACTAGAGAGGATATCTACGCCATGGTAGGGGATGGGAGGGAGGGGTAGGACGTCAGATATGACGCAAGCGCACCTAGCTTGTCCCCCGCCCCCTCCCCCTCCTCCCCCTCCCTTCTGGGCCTGCAGGGCGTCCAGGCTCAGCGCCCTCGCCAGCGAGACGGAGCAGGCGAGGGCCAGCGCCGCCGCGCCCAGCCGGGCCATCGGCGATGCGGCGAGCGGCCGCGACCGATGGGCGGAAGGCCGCCCCTCGCGAGGGCCCTCGGCCGAGCAGCCTCGTGTCCACTGGGGGGGGGGGGCGCGAGAAGCGCGGTCGCCCTTCCGCCCCCCCTGCGGGGGCGACCTGGGGGCCCCTGAGAGGGCGGAGGCCTGTCCGAGGGCGACGAGCGACGAGGTGCTGGAGAACTGGAGGACGCGAGCGGAAAGACGCACGACTCGGGTTCGGGGGACTCGGGTGGGCCTGGCGGGGCGGCCAGAAACACCACGAGACCCCGTCCGAGATTTGGGGCGAGCTCCCACTGCAGACACTCCACGAACGCTGGGCCATCAAAATGCAGGACGGGCCCGTCAAAAAGCGTCGACAAACCCGAGGTCTGGCAAACTCGAGTCTTTCGCTTCCCCGACACGAGGCTGCTCAGCCGAGGGCATGGGAGGGGTCTGGGAGAACATTGCCAGTGGTACTGAGCCCCACCAGCCCTCGGAACGAAGGTGGTATCACCAGTAGTTGTCTTCCATCTTCCAAACCCCCTCCTTCAATGCTCGGGGGAGGGCTTATCACTGTTCCTCAATTATATACACACCATTCCCTACCCAACCGGCGAGAAACCCGGGACCCCCCCCACACCATCGTTTGTCAAAAGTCAATGCAAGAATGACTTTGCACCAACATCTAGATCATGCGCGGACGCCCCGCCATCAGTTTGCACAGGTGTTTTGCAGGGGCGGCGGGGGGGGCGGCATATAGCCTGCTGTCTGCAATACCAGCCCGCCCACACCATCCATTACAAAATGCAATGCGAAGTGCACTTTGCACAATCAACCTGGATCATGCGCGGACGCCCCACGATCACTTTGAAATTGTTTTTGACAGGGACGACGGGGAGGGGGGGGCGGCATAGTGCCTGCTGTGTGCAGGCCCACCATCCCTTTCATTACAAAAAAAACACACACAAAGCTCACTTTGCCAGGGACGGCGGTGGGGGGCCGGCATGCTGCCTGCTGTTTGAAGGCTTACGATGCCTGTCAGAAACAAATGCAAAATGATTGCGGGTGCACGCCGCCACAATTCACACTGCTCGCACACACGCCGTCACTTTGCATTGGTTTTTGACAGGGGTGGTGAAGCGGTCGACATGTTGCCCATTGTGGCGCGCGTGGCGCACCTGGCACGTGCCGCGCACCTCGCGGGCATCGCGCACCTGGCTGACGTCTGCTTTGGTTCCCGATGGTTTTCGATGGCGGCCCTGGGCTGTGTCAAAACTCGAGTGCTACTTATATAATGGGAGGGGGGGTGAGAGTGGGCGACGCGGCTTGTGGCTTGGGGTAACTTGACCGCTGCTCCCAATGAACAAACACCCCATCCCTCGACCGACAGGCAACCTACCCGGACCCATGAGCCCCCATTCCTGCCAACAAGGAAAAACACTGTGTCTCCAAATCTGGAGCATGCGCGGGCGCCCCGCGACCACCTTGCATTGGCTTTCGACCAGGACGGCGGGGGTGCCGGCATATTAACTGCTTTCTGCCATGCCAACACATCCAAACGCCGCTTTCAAAAAACAGTGCAAACCATTCTGCGGTGTAGGGTCATGCTCGGGCCCCCCGCGAGCATGTCATATTCCCCAACCATCCTGTGGTGTTAGGTCCTCGTTTTAAACAAACAGCGCCCAGCGTCACTCCTTCTTTTCTCCCTGCCTTCCTCCTCACCTCCTCCCCCTCCTCCTCCATCATCAGCATCATCACCATCGACGTCATCATCACCATCATCGTCATCGTCATCGTCGTCATCATCATCATCAGCATCAGCATCAGCATCAGCATCAGCATCATCATCAGCAGCAGCAGCAGCAGCATCAGCATCATCATCATCACAA